GGATGCCCCTCATGACTTCTTATTTAGTCCTCACCACTATTCTTCCAGGTGTGTGTTATTAAAATCCCCTAAGTACCAGGATGGAAGCTGAGACTTAGAGAAGTTCAATCCTGAGATCACACAGGTAATAGGTGACAAACCTCACTTTACTACAAGAAACCATGTATAATGGGTTCGAGATTCTGAACCTCTCACTCCTGTTCCCAGTATCTTTACATTTGTTAGACTTTTAGATTCTACTTACCTTTCTCTTTTACAATATAAATATTACCCCTGGCTGCCTCCTCTGCTCTGCATTTCTTAGTGGATTTTATCAGGGGTGTATAAATATTTAAGAGAAAGCTTAGCGACTCTTACTGCATCAGAAGACTAATCATTTAGAACAATCAACTTATACTTGGCATTAACTAGTCAAAGTGGAAACACACAAACACTGAATAACTCAGACACTGGCCAGCCAATTAAGAGTATTTGGTTAAAAGAATGCCAAATGAAGTTGTGATTCTTTTAGCCAAAACCTCTAGTCCTATACCTGACACCATACCCTCTGGGAAAACTGAGAAATGGTCTAGGAAGGAATTTTACCAAGGATTATGATGTCAGTTTATCAAAGAAGCAACACTCTAGCTTCTGTTCGCTTTGCTCAATGAGCTACACATCTCTAAAAACTACTCTGTCATGTACAAGTTCTTAGTTACTTCGACTTCATTTCTTAACAAACTGGAAAAAAATCTGCTGACGTTTTGATGGAGGCATCCCCAGTCACGAGCAGTGTCTCGCTGAGAAACCTCTTCCCTGTCTCAGTTATCAGGGATGTGGTTCTCCCTCACGGAAGACTTCCAGTGGAAGTCATCCATTCTTTCCGATCATCACACCAGGATGCAGATACAGTCTTCTAAGGCACCAAACCTCCCGTTTCCCTAGAAATCACTTCTCCCCCGCCCCCGTCTCTCTCTTACTCATTTCTGATAGTATGCAGACTTTTTTCTCTTCTCAATCTAATCCCATTAAGGTAATTAAAATACCTTCTACTTGCTTGGAACAGAGTGTCTAATAAACAAATTCACTGCACTTCTTAAAACTTTTTATTGACAAAATACACTCAGGTGGGCAAAGGGTAGGAGGAAATGGGACCTCTGTAATAGTGTCAACTATTTGAAAAACTAATAAATAAGTCAGTGGGTCTATTTATATAAATTTATATAAAGAAAGTTCACTGATCTTAAGTGTACAACTTAATGACTTTTGTCATCAGTTTTGCTGATTTTGAACTTGGAATAGGTAGAATTGTTCATTGCTATATGTAGTTCACTTACTTAAGGTGATGCCTGTGAGATTTATTCATGTTGTGTGCATCAGAAGTTCATTCCTTTTTATTGTTTTGTGGTATTCCATTGTATGGAAACATAAAATTGTGTTTTTTTTCTCCTGTTGATGTAGTTTTAGATGTTTCCAGTTTGGGGCTCTACTGTCAATTTTTGTTTTCATTCAGTTCAAAATATTTTCCAATGTTTATTGTAATTTCTTACTTGACTCACATGTGTTATTTTGAAATATATTGTTTGCAAACATTTGGGAATTTTAAAGTTATTCTGTTGTTAGTTTCTAATCTAATTATAATGTCATCATACTTTGCATTACATAGTGCAGTCAATTTAGGTAAATATTTTATGTGTAATTAAAAAGAATTTGAATCATGCAGTTTGGGTCTATGATTTTCTATATTAATCAAGGCAATTTAGATAATAAGGTTATTCAAACTTCCTGTATTCTTACTGATTTTTTTGTGTCTACTTATCAGTTAATAAGAAAGATGTGTTAAAATCTCCAGTTATGGAAATAGATTTAATGTCTATCAATTTTGCTTTACAAATTTTGAAATTACATTTATAGGTACACAAAAATTTAGGATTGTTGTATTCCTGTTGATCTTTCAGCTTATGAAATGTCTTTTTTCTCAGAATATTTCTTTTCTTAGAGCCTATTTTATCTGACATTAATATAGCTGTGCCAATGTTCTTAGTCTTTGCATGGTATACTTCCTCTATTTTCTCCTTTTAACCTATCTACTTCTTTTAATTAATTAACTTCTGCTTCTTTATATTTAAAATATGTCTCTTATTAACAGCATATTGTGGGTCTTATTTTATTATTCTAGTTTGACAATCTTTGCTTTCCAATCACACCATGAAGATCATTTACATTAAATGTAATTACTGATATAATTAGGTTAAAGTTCAAAATGTTGCTATTTGTATTCCATCTATTCTATCTGTTCTTTGTTTTTTCTTCACTTAACATTACATCATGGAACTTCCCGTGTGTCTACACTGTCTTCGTGTGTTTCGTTTTCAGTGGCTCCTCACTAGCCTGTTGTTTCAATGTTTCACGTCTTATCACACCATTAGTTATTTCGTTCTTTCAATAACTGTGCTGTTACAGATAAAGCTGCACAGAACATCTTGATATATATTACTTTCTACTTAACATATTATTCCGCAGGGTCTGTTTCTAAATGGGGAATTACTGATTCAAGAAATAGCAACATCTTTATAGTTCTTGATACAATTTGTCACCTTGGTCTCCCTGAAGAATTATTCTAATTTATAACCTTATTAGCAGTATGCAGCTGTAGTAATTTCACTGCAGCCTTGATAGAATTGCACGTTCCTTTATAAATAAAAGTTGTTGTATAAAAAGGAATGAAGAGGAATCAGAATTATGATTGCCAGTGTGGTTGCTGTAGGCAAGTAAACAGAAAGAAGGAAAGTCGTGCACGAATGTCACTTCCACTGAAAACTGAGCTACAGTCCCTGACTCTTCTGCATCTGTTTCGAACACACTTATGCTTTAGCAGCAAGCTCCCGTAAACCACTTAGTAACATTTCTGACATAATATGTAAACTGGCATATACATTTTACTTGAGTCTAATAAAACTATAAATAAGTAAATTCACAAGTAAAACCAAAACAGGTTTATAGAATCAGAGAGAAAATTAAAGATAGGAGACCAACCAAAAATATACTTCAAAGCAGAGTGAACACATGCTTCTAAGTAACATTTAATCCTTAGTGTGAATAATGGCAAAATACAGGGGCTGCATCACTAAACTTGATGCTTTTCCTCCGTTGGGTGCTAGTGTGGAATAACTGTGGAAAGGAACTCTCAAAATGTAATTACTTTGCAGAGCACTTAAGGAGACATTTTCTGATTTGAGCGTAAATGTGCTGCCGTAAGGCACATATTTTTAATTACTCTGTACAGGAGAAACTGGAATCCCCTAGAGATGAATACTGGCCACATACCTGAAAACTAGCAGACCAGTAACTCAACTTATATCTTTGTTTCTTAGGCCTGTGACCTTTCCACTCTGCTTAGGGATTACTTTCAACAACTGTTATTAAAATCTTGTCTACCACACAGTGCTTTATTAAAAATCATAATGAAAATAACCATAACAAAGACAAAAACTTTATCAAAGAATAAGGACAAGAGATTTATTATAACATGATCTAAACTGGCATAAAATTCAGAAGATCACATTATTTCAAAGTGCTATGGAAACTCGGTAAAAACCTCTTTTCTTGACATTCAAGCTCTGTGATTTGGACATGGTAATTCAGAGTCATAGGAAAAAATGCAAACGTAATATCAGAACCTAAAATCAAATTATAGTAATGATGTCATTCATAATCAGCACCCCTCTGGATCTTCCAAATACACCAAAAATCTAGGTTTTTTTTAATGGGGAAAATTTGACAGCTAGTATTATCTAAATTTAAGGTGTAGCATGTCAGTTTGATATATTTATATAATGTAATATGGTTGCCAATGTAGCAATATTTATCACATTACGAACTTACAGTACAAAATTATCGTGTGTTCATTAAATTTCTAGGACTGTCTGAGTACTTGTGGCAAATTTGTACCTTTAGAAACAATCACTTTTATTCTCCACCCCCAACCCCTGGTTACTAGCATTTTATTGTCTGAAAAATCTAGCTTTCTTTCTTTTTAAGGTGAGTTTTTTTAAAGATCTTATTTATTCATTTTTAGAGAGAGAGGAAGAGAAAGAGAGAAATAGCAACCTGTGGTTGCCTCTCATGTGCCCCCCACTGGGGACCTGGCCTGCAACCCAGGCATATGCCCTGGCTGGGAATCGAACTGGCCACCTTTTGGTTCACAGCCCACACACACTCAATCCACAGAGCTACACCAGCCAGGGCTGAAAAAAACCTAGCTTTTGAAATTAAAAAAAAAAGTGCTGTGAATCTTTATTGTAGATGATGGAAACTATAAATTGGCTTCAAAAAACCAAATATATTATTTTTGGCAGTTTGTTTTCCCCTCAAACCACATCTTAAGTCTTTATTTAGTGAATGAGAAACATTAACTAACCTACTATGAAAACAGAACTGTTAGCACGTTCCTCCCCAGGTAAACACTGACAGCCGTCTTTTGAAAGCCTCTCATGTCCACAGATAGTTTCTTAATTTACAGCATCTTACTGGTTCAGCAAGCAGTACAGTTATTAATACTTTCAATTCTTTTCAATCATGTTATTATTAAACAAAGCTGAATTTGAATAAAGCTGGATATTAAGTGTGGACTATATTCTGTCAGGATTTTATTATCTTCTTTCAGTAAATTCATAATAGGAATTTTTTTAAAAACTTATTTTAAAGAAAGTAAGAACTCGTTCAAAGCATGAAGCACTTTATAAAATTATGAGGTTTCTCTTAAGAGTATTTAGAAGCAAATAATTCTGACCATTGCTTGCTTCTCCTTTCTGATATCTTAGCTCAGTCGCCAGGATAGTAAGATGAGTCCTTTTTCACTCTATCAGCTGACAGCTGTAAGCAATCAATCTGATTCAAACAGTCAAAGCCCAATTTCTCTCCCAGTTAACTCCCCTGCCTCTGAAGTCTGTATTTCTTGGAACAAAATGATATGCTCATGTGAAAAAGAAAAATAGAGTGATCCTTTCTTTTCTCTCCAGGAGGTGTTTGGTTTCCAGACCCGGAATCTGCGCAGAGCGCTCTGCCTTGCAGCCTCTGTGCTGACCTGTGGGGCCCTCCTGCTGGTGCTCTACTGGAGGCCCCAGTGGAGGGTGTGGGCCACCTGCATCCCGTGCCCCTTGCAAGAAGCAGATACTCTCTTGCTAAGGACAACGGTGCGTGTGTGTCCTATCATGCTGCATGTGTGGCACAACCAATGACTGACTGGCCAGCATTTCAAGGGGAGAGCTTGCAGGGGTGTCCAACCCACAGCCCCCTGGGCCACATGCTGCCCAGGATGGCTATGAATGCGGCCCAACACAAAATCGTACATTTACTTAAAACCTTTTTTTTTTGGCTCATCAGTTTTTTTTTGTATTTAATGTGTGGCCAAGACCATTCTTCTTCTAGTGTGACCCAGAGACACCAAAAGGTTGGGCAGCCTTGAAAGAATTTTCCAGTCCCAAAATAGGAGACGGAGATACTATCGTTGTGATCTATTTGCCACCTCTTGGTTTAACCCAGGAGCGAAGGACATTTCTCCCACACCAGATGAAGAAATGTCCACTATGCCAGGCTAGAGGTCAGCACTCTTAGCTAGCACAGGAACAGCGGCCGTCAGTGCTGCGACTCTTAGAATCAACGTGGGAGTCGTCACTCAATTTTTCAAAATGTGTACTTTGAAGGAAATTAGACACTTTAAACATCTAGATGTGATTTTAAGAAGGCCAGAAACTGTTTTCTGAATACAAAGTTTTCCTGAAAAGTGCATTTTTCTCTTTATTCTCCTGCACAATGTTCTCAAATTTAAGTGCAATCAGAATTGCCTGGAGGGCTCTTTAAAGCGCAGACTGCTGGCCATAGTCCCAGGCTTTCTGATTCAGTAGGTCTTCACGGGGCTGAGCCTTTGCATTTCTAGCAAGTTCCAAGATAATGCTAATGCTGTTGTCTGCAGCCCAAACTTTGGTAAGCCCTGGCCTAGCACTTGGCAGGTTTTGGGTTGGTCAAGTGCCTTATGGAATGCCATTTGAGAATTTCACAGGCTGGAGTGTCTTTTCTAGGATGAATTTCAAAGATATACGAGGAAGAAGGTGATGTGCCTCTACTTATCCACACTAAAGTTTCCTATCAGCAAAAACCCGGAACAGCGCGTTGTAGCTGACCGCCACTCTGTCATAAACCAAGCTGTACTGAAACCAGAATTAAAAGTGAGTGAGTTGTGAGAGTGCATTGTTGTGGTACACTTTTGCTAGAAAAGAGTACTGTGAGTGTTTACTAGATGAAAGTTTGGATCTCACACTGCTGGACGGGGAATCACAGCTATGTATCACAGAAAGCTAGAGCCATGTGGGGACCTGGGTTGCACAGCTCCCCCCTTCCCAGATGAGCTTCACTTTGTGAATGACCGATATCTTATCACATCTGTCATTGCAGCTGCGATGCATCCAAGTGCAGAAAATCAAGTATGTGTGGGACAACTTGGAGAAGAGGTTTCAGAAAGTTGGGTGAGTCCGACTTGTACTCAGGTCTACATCAGGGTATAAGGGAAGAACACTGATTTGTTGTATGCTCTGAACTGAAGTGTGGTTCCTGTCCTGACCACACCCCAGGTTGCTGGAGGACAGCCACTCCTGCTACGACATCCATCACATGTTTGGACTGGGTCTGACCAGTGAAGAGCAAGAGATCAGGTAGGGTTTGCAATAATCCCTGAGCAAACTTTGCTAGCAGAAACTGAAACATCATATGGCTTGTGATCAGTGAATTGTTGACATAATGCTTCATCAACTTTGTATCATCCCAGTTCATTTACTGGCATCAGAAAAGATATTCTAAATTATTTACATCACAGGCAAACTTATTTAAAAAGAAAAGACTAAAAGAACAATGCAATCAAATAACATTTGATCTTATTTTTCAGGATTGTACAACAGTTTTGTCTGTGTTGCCTTTTGAATTTTTTTCCTCAAAAAAATCTTGAGTCATTTCATAAACATCAGCTTCTTAATCCTCCAAATCCTTACAAAAAGACAATATTCTGATTGCATTTTACTTTAAAGAGCAGCCCTTGGAGATGAGAATTTTGTTTGTTCAGTTAATTGTGTTATTCACCACAGCATCCACCACACCTCTAGGACAGTGCCTGATTCGTGATAGGAGCTCAATAGATACTTGTGGAATGAATGAGTAAATGAGCGCATTCATAAAACTATTAACTAAATGTCTCTAATATGCCAGGCACTTCGCAAAACACTAGGGATATCGGGATAAAAAAGACATCTCCTAACTGGTGGGAAAGAGAGGTAAAGAATTGTTGTACAGTTGTCAGAGTGACCTGTCTAGGGGCACATAGGTTAAGAAATGATAGTAGTAGCAACGAAAATGCTTATGCTACTCATTAACTCACAGCGATCTAGAATCCTCACTTTCCTCACCTATAATTTGAAGTGATGAATCTTGACGAATCTGAAAGGAGACCACTGCAAGCTTTCCCCTGAAAGCTGATTATTTTAATAATCGGCTTCATCCCTTGACCAATTTTAGGCAACAATTTTAGGGACACTATCTGCTTGACCTTTTTTTTTAGGTTTGTTTTTGTTTTTTCTTAATCCTTTAAAAATATATTTTATTGATTATGCCATTACAGTTGTTCTATTTCCCCCCTTCATTTCCCTCCGCCCTGCACACCCCCTCCCCCACTGTTCCCCCGTTTAGTTTATGATCATGTGTCTCAAGTTCTTTAGACTCTATATTTCCCCTACTATTCTTGCCCTCCCCTATCTATTTTCTACCTACCATCTATGCTACTTATTTTCTGTACCTTCTCCCCGCTTCCCCTCCTCCCACTCCCCTGTTGCTAACCCTCCATGAGATCTTCATTTCTATGGTTCTGCTCCTGATCTAGCTGTCCTTTTTAGTTTGCTTTTGTTTTAGGTGTGGTTGTTAATAACTGTGAGTTTGCTGTCCTTTCACTGTTCATCTTTTTTATCTTCTTTTTCTTAGGTAAGTCCCTTTAACATTTCATATAATAAGGGCTTGGTGATGATGAACTCCTTGAATTTGATCTTATCTGAGAAACACTTTATCTGTCCTTCCATTCTAAATGAAAGTTTTGCTGGGTAGAGCAATCTTGGATGTAGGTCAGCCAGAAACACTACTTCACAAGCTAAGAAGCAATTCAGTACTTCAAATACAGGTTCTTGGACTCTTCCCACAACTCCGATTTAGTAGGTAGGAGCTTGGGGAGTGATGAGAGAAGAAACTCTGCATAATTAGCAGGCATCCCCATAATTCTGATGCACACCAAGTCTTAGAATTACCGATCTGCTGTTGTTTTTAAGTTTTGTCCTTGCCTTAACATAATGAAAAAATGAAGCAAGCATCTAGACTGTGACAATATTGCAAAATGCCTTAGAAATGGTAACATTATATAAGATTTCAATGCTTAATATATTGAAATACAAAAAGTTTTCAAAGTCATTAAAAACATATTGGTTTAGTAGCATTAAGCACAAGACTTTAGAAGATTGATGTAGGGCATTTAGGAAATCCAGTTGATGAATGCAGACATACTGCCTAGAAAAGCGTCTCTGCAGGAAAGATTCCCATCAGCACAGCCACCTCATGTTTGTCCTTATTTATCAAGTGCCAGGCTTTAATAAACATCATACATAATTAAATTTAAATCTGGTCTACACAATAAAGAACTTGACAATCTAATAAGCAAGACAGAAAGTATAGTTTTTCAAATATGAAGAATAGAGGAGATGATATACTGATAAACATGTAGGCGCATTTTATTTTATGGGCTTATCTATTTGGAGAGTAAAGATAGTAAATAGAATGTGTAGCATTTCCCCCCTAATTTTTTCTTATTTTTCAGCATGAGAGTAACTCTGAAAAACTATGATGGATTGAGTGATGTTGATTTCCTTGAGCTTACTTGCATGAAAAGTGAGGGCATGAGATGTGAAGAAAGAAAGGAAAATCTCTGATGACGAAAAGCCACAGAGTCTAAATACAACCTTCTCTTTAGGCTTCCTAGTGGCCAGGAAAAAAAGGGAAAATACACAGATTCACGTAGTTCTCATATTTTAGTAGCAAAAGACAAATCAGGACATCAGGAAAGATCCTTTTATCCTGGAGAGAAACTGTCAGAGGGCATCAGAAAGAAAGGAAGACAATTCCAAGATGCTCTCTGTTCCTAGCTTCACTCATTCATGAACTCAATGCAGTTTTCCCTCTTAGAACCTGTCCTAGACAGGCTCATGGGCACTTGAGGTAGTTCTCTTATCTCATGGAAACAGGGTCCCATGGAAAAACAAACCTACCTCACCAACAGTCTTTCTATTAGGACAGTTTTTAAATTGAGGATCTCTTCAGCTTCTTTTTATTCAGGACTCCCTCCTATGGCCTCCTCTGTTTAATCTCCTGAAGAGAGAAAGGGAATTTTCTGGCAGAGGAGATACTAGGCACCTCCTAATAGCATTAGCTACAGACAAATTACCTTGTTGGTAACCCAGCCCTCTGGGGGGCGGGGGACCTTTGATGGGTAGAGATTGCCAGTTTCTGTAGTGGGTCTTCTCCAATCATGGCTGATTTCAAGCCACTGGTGTGATGTCCCTGAATGTGGAGCTGGAAGGAAGTGCTCACCATAGGCTCAGCGATTCTGCAAGGCCAACCTTAATTCTCAACATTTGTCACAACATTGAGTGAAAAGCATGCCTGTTAGTATCAGAGGAGGAAATTCCATTAATGCTCAGCTCCAAGCTGGTGGAAACTTCAGGAGAAGAGAGATACTGAAACAGAGTGAAAGAAGGATCAAAAGGGAGGCAGGAGAGAGAAAGAGATTAGGGCTGTTCTGAGACCCTATTTCCTCACCCCTCAGGTCTTCTGGGGAGCCAAAACAGAAAAGAAATCATGCTGGTATACCATGATCTTTGTCCCCTTTGAAAGTTCCATCCCTAGAAAACACTGCTGTTGCAGACTTTCTTCCATCAGGCCAGTGCTTAGGAAGAGGAAGGAAGTGATGCTTGGAGTAGAGGAGAGAGGCAGTGTTTAGCATTCAGTTAGAAGTTAATAAATGACTTAAATATTATAATTTGCATGGGGCATTTAAGAAAAACAAAATGAAACATTGAGGTCAACATTTAAAAAAAATTGTTTCATCCATAAATTGGTTCTGTGGATCTGGATCCATTTAATGTATAAAATCACTCAACTCCAATGCCTTGTCTACAGCAAAGGCCCCTGATGTCACCAGTAAGCCTAAGTCCTTGGTCTCCCCTGCGAGATCCTGCCTGGGTTTTCTCTGCTCCCACCTACCTTTATCCCATGTCCTCCTGGTCCTCTGCTTTCCAGATCCTCATGCCTGGGAATTTTTTAAAAATTCTGTAAATCTGCTTCCTAAGAATTCCAGAATTCATGCCAGAATCCCCTGGCACAGCATTAACAGTTTGGAAGACTACAGATCTCCCTTCCACTCTGTTGGACACTCACCAGTACGGAAGCAGGGCAGTCATGTGTGGCTTGGAAAAGCTCATCAGCCGCTCTGACACAGTCCTTCTCCCTTGAGGACCACTCCAGTCTTCACCATCTGGAGCCTAAAGTGTCTAGCACATGGCATATTCTCAACAATCATTTGGTTAATAAATTGATAAATGAATGAACACATGAATGAATGATCAAATTTAAAGAGATAGAGACCAGTCCTGGCTGGTGAGGCTCAATAGATTAAGATTACCATGAGAAACCATCTCACTACACAGAGAAAGCAGAAGTACATCAGGCCTTTGCCTCATTCCTTTCTAAACTGACTTTGCACAGCCTGTGTAAACTGAATTTTAGCCTTGTTAGGGGAGAGGGTAGACATGGGTCACAAAGAGACAATCCTCGCTGATTACGCCCAATATCTAGGGAACATTCTGTGTCAGATGCTGTGCCACTAGATTCTGGATACACAGAGTTGAAAGAGCTCCATCCCTGCATTAAAGAGTATCTAGGAAATTTAAGGGGAAAGACATAATTATAGGTAATGATTCAAGGAGGCACGTGCTGTTATTAAGAAAAGAAGGGTTGTCTGGTATAAGGAAAAATACAGTTAATTGTAACTAAGGGAGTAGAAAAGACTTCAAAGACAGCTGCTATTTTTTTTAATTTTGATTTATTTATTTATTTTTAGAGGGGGGGAGGGGGAGAGAGATTGATTTGTTGTTGTATTTATTTATTCATTCATTGGTTGCTTCTTCTATGTGTCCTGACCAAAGATCGAACCTTCAACCTTGGTATGTTGAGATGACATTCTAACCAACTGAGCTACTTGGTCTGGGCAACAGCTACTATTTATTGAGAACTGGTCATGTCCTAGGTACTTGTGCTAAATGCTTTACACATTTATCTCACATGTCATTGACAGCAATTTTATTAGGCATGTATTATCAAACCCATTTATATATAAGGAACCAAGGCTCACCCCTCAGTCATCTATTCATTCATTCAATAAATGATTCTTGAATGTAGGATATGTATTTGACCCTATTTTATGCATTCAGGATTTGACAATGTCCTGTAGAAGCTTATATTATAGTGGAGGGTACAGTCTATTGTTTGCCTGCTTATTAACTATAAGAAAGTAAGATGTAATTTTAGATTATCAAATGCACTTTAAAGAAAGATGAGATAGATTAAGGAGATACAGAGAATGTGACTTGGGGGTAGGGGTAGCTATTTTAAACAGAATTATTAGGGAAGGCTCCAATAAGGAGGTGTTATTTGAACAGAAACCTGAATGAAGTGAGGGAGTGGGCCACGCAAAGATGCGAGGGGAGAGTTGTGCCATGTGGGCAAAGCAGCAAGTTCAAAGGCTTGTCTAGATTCAATCCCAAGTCTGTTAGATCTTGAATTTTCCCATACTAGGCGCTATTGTCAGATTTGGCTCTCAAAGGCTGAAAAGGCATATTCAAAGTGAAGAATGTGGGAAGGACATTCTAAGCAGAGAAAGAATGAGAGAAGACCAAGTTCAGGGTTTTGAGAAGTTCTGATCCTTGGCCAACAACAAGGCATTTTCATGGATCATGGAAAAGAATTCTGAACACCAAAGTGACTTGAGTGATGGTCTCTTCCAAGGGTGAGGTTTAGAGTCTTGTGAAGCCAAACAACAGCATGTGCAGTTTGATCTCCCTGCTTCCCGAAATCCCTGAGCCTCAGTGTTGTCATAGCATGGGGTCAGAAGACCTTGGACTGAGTTCTCTCTGACCACCACAAAAAATAATTGTACTTGGAGCAACAAGTCTTAGAAGTTGGACAAACTTGGACGTACTCCCTCTGACACCTTAGACCAAAGATCCATCTGCAGATTTTGACCTCTGGTCCTTCCTTCCGTGAGGCAGAGTGAGGAGTGGAGTCCCATAGACATGCTGTGAGGTGTGGCTCTGCTTCCTCCTAGCTCTGAGATTCTGGGAAAACTGCTTGGTTTTTCTGAACTTCAGTTGTGTTTTAATAAAGATGGTAATGTGCAACCCCATGGGATAGCATGATGATTAAAGGAGGTAATGTATAAAAGGCTCACCTCAGGTTCTCACACCGTCATCTCTGCTTAAAAGTCACACTGTCATGATGAATGTTAGCTTTATTCACCTTTGACAAAACACACAAACGGAATGGTTTTTCCCTTTGGCAAAATGGGGATATTAATTCTTTTTTGTTTTGAACTATTGTGAGGACCAAATGAGAGAGTCTTTCACAGGAGCTTTGAAGATTGTAAAATGCTACACAAACATGAGGGCTTCCTTTTTGTAATGTGCATATGTGTGGACTTACAAGGTGTTAGTCATGAAAACCATATATGATCTTCTGGTTTGTTAGCTCATTCACTCACGTATTTGTTGAGCTCCTATCTTAAGGGCCTGTCTCTAGGTGCTGGAGACACCAGGGTAAGATAGACATGATCTCTAACATCAAGAGCAATCTAGAATGCCTGAACATTCTAGGAACATCTTTGTATCTATGTTTTTTTAGCTGGTCTTAGAGCATTATAAAAATTTTTAAATAATGCAAGATACCTTTCTAACTTCATTTTAGCCCTTGAGTTATACTATACTGTACTTAAGATATTTTTTTAACCAGGAAAACAACTTGATCTTCACCCACTGACTTTCATTTTAAAAATATACTGGTGTTTTAGGATTTACACATTAATTGTTCATTGAGAGCACAAAATCCCCCAAAAGGTAGACAAGTGACTTCTGCTTGGCCTGTATTCATTTATTCATGAGTTTGTAGATGTGACACTAATAGACAATCAATCTCCTACAGAAGACTAGTGTGCGGGCCCAATGCCATCGAGGTTGAAATCCAACCCATATGGAAGCTGCTTGTTAAACAGGTAACTACTAACGGTTTGCTTTTCTTTTTTGGGGGGGGTGAGGGGAAGCTCCCATCCACTCTCATTCTTTACCTTTTTTTGGTGGATATAGATGCAGATTTATTTTAAGAAGTTGGTTCACAACTGTGAGGGCTTGCAGACCTGACATCTGTAGGGCAGGTGGCAGTCCATGAGCGGGGCAAGAGCTGGTGTTGCAGTCTTGCATCTAAAATGTGAAGGGCAGCTGGTAGGCTAGAAACTCAGGCGGGATTTCTATGTTACTGTCTTAAGGTAGAATTCCTTCTTTCCTGGGAAATCTCAGTTTTTGCTCTTAAGGCCTTCAACTAATTTAATGAGGCCCACCCACACTATCAGGGCCAATCTCTTTTCCTTATAGTCAACAGATTGTGAAAGTTAATCCCATTTACAAAATGCCTTCACAGAAACATGTAGTCTACTGTTTGGCCAAACTGAGCACTATAGCCTAGCCAAGTTTATGCATAAAATGAACCATTACAGTAGCCTTTTTATCTTTTATTTCTTTTAACCAGCTTACTTTGGCTGTCCTTCCAAACATTCAGTTCTGTCTCTTCTTATCTCATCCTTTACTTTTTACTTTCTACTGCTCAGGGGAACCCTAAGCAACACGTGGGTTCTTTGATGTGAACAAAACCTGTGTGTTGTGTGAATTCTTTCTGTTATTCCCCAATTGCCTTTAGTCTACCTGTTTCTTACCTACTGGGGCCCTTTACTTAAAAACATATATATATATATATATATATATATATATATATATATATATATATATATAGTCCCAGAGTTTGTAACTGGTCCTTTTAAATAATAATTTGTTTTAAATTCAAATCTACTTTTTAAAATCCCTTCTTAGTGTGATGGAAGAGTTCTATTTCACAATTTCCTATTTGTTTTTCTTAAGTTTTTGATGGTGGTTATGGTGGGGGGGCAATGTTATGATTTCTATGATGTCTTTGAGGATTTTAGATGTTTTATTTAGGTCTTTTTAATATTTCTCTGCTGTTTCCATTTCCTGAGAATGACTTCTTCCTTTATTAGCAGGGTTTTTAAATTAATTAATTAACTTACTTTTTTAGTACTTTCTTTGTATGCTTCAAAGTTACTTTATCTTTTTGCTAACTCACCTTAAGTAGGATTTTCCCCCTTCATTTTTGTCTCACCCTCCCTCTTTGATTGCTCTTTTGCCATTTACTGGTGGTTCCCTCAGGTCCCCAGCTCAGAACTCAGGTTCATATTGGAGATGGGAGCTCTGCCCTCTGGGGATCTCCCTGTTAGATGCAGACTCCGAGCCAGGTTGGGGCTTAGAGAAGTTCACAACTGCACCACCAGCTCCGTTCTCTCCTACTTCACTCTCCACCGGTGAGCCACTGATTGTTGTGACTTTCCTCAGCCTCTGCTCTTGGGTGGGGACCCACCAGTACCCCTGTTTTCCCCTGCAAGCTTGGGTTCTGCCCACTGCCACTCATGGGACACTTTCGGTCTCGTTTCCCCTAGACCTAAGCCTCTGGTGATTGCTCTTTGTCTTTGTCCGGAACCCAGTACACATCAGCCCCCACTCAGCTGCATGTTCCTAGTCTAGTCGTAGTCCACGAAGATGGTCATTTTACTTTTGAACATGGTCACATCCTTTATAAAATAAATTTTTTGTTAGACGTTTTCTCTTAGGTTTACAGCAAAATTGAGTGGAAGGGGCAGAGATTTCCCATATCACACACGTTCCCACAGAGACAGTCTTTGCCACTCGGAGAAAGCAGGCTGCTTTTCCAACTTCTTAATCAAGTACATTTTCAAATTACCAGAGACTCTCCCAGGTGTCAGGTGGTGTATTTTGAAAGGAGTGCTAGTATTTTCTGGCACAAATTTACAAGGCCTTTAGTAGAAGAAAACTGTTTTTTCACATTTGACTTCAAAAAAATATTGACTAAGAGCATTACATTAATTATGATGGTGCCATTTCTTCTACAAGAAGTATTTAAGCAATTTTCTACTGAGTTTGTATGAAACTGAAAATTGTATTATTATTAGTGCATAATCTACCATTAGACCATTTTATGCCAAGCAAACAGAAAAGCTGTAATTTGTAAGAGAAGCCTGGTGCAATGGAAATAATAAGAACCATTAAAGAACAAAAACTCTTTTAATGTATAAAATATATCCGAGGGTTTAAGAAATTCTTAAGACACAAGCTATTACTGTATTAACTAGATATGAGTTCATTTTTAGGACTAACATAGAAGTTTATTTAGTAATTAGAGAATTATAGAAAATAGAGGTAAGAGAACAGCACTGGTTTGAGGTATTTCATGTAATTTATCACCCTCGTAAAGAGCGCTTCCCCAAGACGACGGTCCTTGCTCTGCTCCTCGGTTCTCACGACCTGTCTACGTCCCCAGACTTTGCTGTGCTCCACCGCATCAGGCTGCCCTCTCTGCTACCATTATTAACTGTGAAGTCTGTAGGACCAACGTGGGGGAAATGAGGGAGTGAAAGCATTTGAGCATATTACCAAAAATAGCTGCATGGATGGCCAGCTTTGGGGCTGCCAATACGTTCTGCCTGTGATTTTTTCTGCAGGCTGGGATGAGGCCTTTTTCTTCACTACTCCTCCTGTTCAAGGGAAGGCCTATGCTGGCTTGGCTGACTCTCAGGGGATCTTGTTAAGACCCGTGACATACCAGTGTGTTATCTTAAAAAGTGACCTGCATAAAAGTAGGTTCTTTAATTTTTATTATACAACTTGACTGAACCTATAGTATGTGATATGTGAAAAGAAGAAAAAAACACTGCAATAAAAATCTTCAAAATTGAAGTTGGATTTTAAAAGAAACTAAATCATGTTTCTTCAGCACTATACGTAAATCTGTTTAAAAAGGTAAGTTGTTGGATTTTGTTATTGGTAACATATTTCTGAAAATTCAAAATAATAAGAATGATTAGTCTATGGCCATGGCTTTGAGTGCTTAAAATAATTTTGGTTCTACCATATTACATACTTTGTGCTTGACATTGTCTCCACCAAAATTAATGGAGTTCTAAGTGCATTCTTAAATATCAGAGGTTGTTGTGTGTTGTAAAAAATGGGAAATGCCATTCTATAAAGAAATGACATCATCTTGATTGCTACTAAGGTCCATGCAAGTGACCTAAATGTTATTTTTGTACCTGCAGGTTTTAAATCCATTTTATGTGTTCCAAGCCTTCACCTTAACATTGTGGCTGTCTCAAGGTTACATAGAATACTCTGTGGCCATCATCATCTTGACTGTTCTCTCCATTGTCTTAAGTGTGTATGATCTGAGACAGGTAAGAGCTAAAATTGCCGTTGGATGCTATTTGGTTTCTATCTAGATAAGAAGCAAAATGTATGACATTTCCATTGGCAGCAAGGAGTTGCTTTGTTAAATATATGAGATAACAAAGAAAAAAGCAAGGACTTACTAAGTGTGAGATCTCAGGAAGAAGGCTGTAGGAATTCTAGGTGGATTTAAATGTCTTTGCAAACTCTGATTAGCAGCTGAAGGCAGCATTGAATAGTATATTTAGAGGGGCTCTGAGGCTGGGTCTGAATATTATGGGAAAGGATGACCTGATGGATTCATGACGCCAGCCCCAGTTTGAAGAGAATGATTGGAAACACCCTAAATGTGCGTTTTAGTCAAGACTGTTTCAAGTTTGTAGTGATAGAAACCCAACTTGAACTAAATCAAGCAACTCACATAAGCCATTTTAGGGTTGTTTTCCTTTGGGCGTGGATAGATTCAGGAACCGTACTCAACAATGGTTAGGAAGCTGTTTCTGCTTGTCTCTTCTCCCTGCTTTACCAGAACGCTCCTGGCTGTGGTCTGTGGCCTGGTGCTAGCTTGGGACCTCTTCGCTATCTGTGGTTCAATAAGTACTACTGAACTGCACAGTAGGCACTTGCAAATATTTTATAGTAATTTGATGCTGTCCCAACATTTTTCCATAAATTATGGTTTGAAAATTAATGTTTTACTATACCTGGTCTTTACACCTAGATAGAGACTCTCTGCACAGTGGCAAAGGTGGCCATAGCAGTCTCCGTATATTGTCTTCAGGGCCCATGATCTCAGATGAAGAGAGAGATCTTTTTTACTAATATCCATGTCAGTATCCCCCCAAAGACCCTGGCTGGGGCAGCTGGAAGCAGAAGATAGCAGTGCCAAATGCTTTCATCTGCCTCCAAACCCTCTTTCTTTGAGCTCTTTTAATTCAGTATTTCAACCCATGTTCCTTCCTGTGGTGAGATATGCTACTTTTCTTTGTGACTAAATGTTCTCCTATTGTGGACTCCAATTCAGTTTCCACTAGGTGTTTTATGTTTTTCATGAAAGCACATTCCTAATTGGAACATGTTTTTTGAGAGATTCATAGTTCCCTTCACTCCTGAAGCCCCTCTTGGGCTGTCCTGCTAATTCCTAGCTAGATTCCTGTGTAATGTCAATCATTCTCATTGGTGATCGTAAGTTTATGGTTTATGACCTCTCCCTCTCTCTTACCATCTTTGTTCATCTTATAACCATTTTAAATCTTTCTTTAAAAAAATTTATGTATGACATAGCAACACATTCTGAAAGAGTATTTAGCTGAATATATTATAATTCTACAGCCCCTCTAAATCTCAGATATCTGCCACATCTTTTGAGAAAACATTCTACTACTTTACTTAGAATTCATCATACTGAATCATGAGACAACCCCAAAGGAATGTCTGACTGTCTCTGTTGTACATGTTGAAAGCCTGACTGTAGAATTACTCTTTGGGCAAGGGGAGCAATGGTCCTTGTGTCAGCCCATCAATGCTGGTGAACTGTTGAAACCATCCAGTCTCATACCTCAGTCTTCATAGAGAAGAGGAAACTAAGATACAGGGAGGTTGTCCAGATCATAAAGTGTGTTGGTGACAGACTCAGAGCTCCTGGCTGCTCCTGGAGTGAAATTCTACTGTCTGTGCAATATTTCCTTAGCAGAAAGCCCTTTCCAAAGTAGCCCAATAGCTGGGGTTCAAGCCAAGCATTAAGTGTGAGAGGAGAGATGAGTCCTAGCTGTTGGCAAGGTAAATCCTGACCCCATGTCAGGAAGGCAGACACGAAGGCATTCAAACAAGCCGAACTGAAGGCAACCTCACTCCCACTCTATTTCAGTTGCTCTATAAAATTAGATCTAATATTGGCTTTTTATCTATTGGCTTTATCCTTTGTAGGATGTTCTATCCTACAAATGTTGAGTTATTAAGTGTTTGATGAGAAATAAAAGAAAATCAATATATTTAAAGAGTTAGAAACAGGCACTAAAAATGAAAAGGTGAATGAACAGAGCCAGTTTGATCTAGAAAGTGAGGACTAGAGGGCTTTGTTTGGTTAATTATTCATTTGTTTTTTGTTTTGTTTTGTTTTCTTTTTTGAATAAGCAACTGGGTGTTTTTGTTCATGAACTAATTTAAACCACAAAAATATTAACAGTGTTCAGTAGCCTCCCTTTGAGGGTCGCAAATCCTTTCTGTCTGGCTGTCAAGTCAGGGAGCAGAGCAACTGCCCTGGCGAATGCTGAGCACTGGAGCAAAAGCATGAAAACAGACACCGGGACAGTACAGGACTGGGCGCGTTTTACTCAGCCGCCATGGAAAATTAGAGTGTCCCACACTTTTACCTTTGTCGTTTGATAAGGGCATATAATGTGAAGCCCACAAATCAAATTTCTAGTTACTGGTTTTTGAGAAATCTTTGCTTTAATAGAATATCTCATTTGATGTCTGCAAGTCACTCATCTGCTTTCTGGCTTAAGTCAAACCTCAGTCCACACAGTACTTTCCACTGAGTGTTTTATTCTGTTGAGAAGATATGTACACACCCTCACCAAAATATATGATCACACACCATCTCAGGGTCCTGAGAGAAAATGCTGAACACTCAGAACTATTGTCAGGGAGATGTTAATCTAGTTAAGTTAAAAATCTCCCCTCACCCCTCCTATTTGTGTTACTTGATACTATTTGTTACTCCACACTTTAATGATCAGCTTCCTAGCCTATGAGTTTGTGTGTGTGTGTTTGATGTTATAGCTGCAATTTATGTGCCCAGTACATCATGAGCACTGGCCAAACATTAGTTCATGCTATCACTGATGTTGCTGTTGCTGTTTACATGATTATTCCCAGAGTGGAGAAAGTAAGTGATGAAAAGATGGGAGGATGCACAGAGATGGAAGGAGGAGCCCTACACAAAACTTGAACAAGGAAGCACCACATCACAGGGCTTCTAATTACCAGTGACTCCCTCTTCGTGTGACTCTGGACTCTCCTCTCCTGCTTGGGCTCACTTTTCTCAGCTGTAAATGGGGGTGGCTAAACTCTTGTTCTTTAGGTCCCACTGCTTTAGGATTCTATCATTTTCCCACAGCCACCAATAAGGAATTCAAAAATAGGATCTTTGGAAACTTTAAAACAAGACTAAGAAACTTTCTGGCCCCTGGAAATCTGGGAGCACTTGTTGCAGACTTGAGTAAATTACTGTAGGGCCCTACTAGACACTGAACCGACTACCCAGACAAACTACAAATCAGGATTTGTGCACACAATAGAAACCTACTTAAACTACTTTAACCACAAAAGGCATACATACTATAAATATGCATCAGTAGCTCATGGAGCTCAAGTACAGAGGGACTTTACCAAAGGCTGAACCCAAGAACTCGGGTTGCTCCCTCCAGCCTCCAAGTCTACGACAAAGATGGCATGAAGTACACATTTTGGGGAAAGTGCCCTACCTTCACTCCTCTTCTCTGAAAACTGAGCGCACCCAGAGCTGTGGCAGCCTGCAACTAGTTTGTTCCATGTGGCTCTGTCCCTCCACTGCCACTGTTTATTGGTGCCAAGGGCACTTTGAACCAGTGAAATCCAATCCATCAACAAGAGTGAGGCCAACAAGTCTTTTTGCTTAAGATCTGAAAATAAGAGCTTAAAGCTGCTGCTCATTCCCTGTTAGGACCAGGATCTGAGAAATGATGTATAGCTAGCTAGAACCAGGGTGGCCATAATTGTTTCCTGAGTATGGACAAGCAGAGAAAAAACTTTGGCACAGAAAGAGCAAAAGAATGAACCAAATATGCAGTGAGACTCAGAGGTGAGCAATTTGCAGTCTAGCAAAGACAGGAAGAGTAACCTGGGCCTCATGGCACTTCCTGCTCCTATTCGGAGCCCTCGGGAGACTTGGCTGCACCCTCCACCTTAGGTTCCTAAAACATCCTTGAATCCTCATAAATTCTCATCTTCTGCCTAAACCAGATTAACAAGTTTCTCTTACTTACAATCAATGAATCCCAAGTAAATGATGGATTATGCCCCCTAGAATGTTCGTATATACTTCTCCTGAGTCAAATACTGACTTGGTCCCACACATTTCCCATCTCTGTGTTTATGACAAATTTCAGTTTCTCTTTGAAATCCTTTTACAATGTCCATTTCTTCCTTTGGAGTGCAGGTCTATCTTTCTTTAAGGAACCAAAAATAAATATAGATATTTATGTGTAAGAGTTAAGGGAAGGGTTGTAGAAAAAATGCAGTTGATTCTGTACTCTAGAAAGCCATGTTGTAGTAAGAGAATTACTTGAGATTTCCTGAGTTCTTGACCTATTAAATAAAAATATCTAGGGTAATAACAGGAATCTTCACTTTTTAACTGTTTTATAACAGGTGATTTTTATTTATTCTAAAGGTTTAAGAGCTATTATTTTAGGAGAATTCACAAAAAAGGCAAATTTAACCACTGAGATCTCAAATACATCTATCAACTTATTTATTTATCTATAAATAAATTTATTTATTTAATCATCTATTTAATAGATAATTTATTTATCTATTTAATTATTATCTGAACATGTTTCTTCATTGTTTTTACTCTATAAAATAAACAGAAATATGATTAATTTATGTAGTTATTAATTTGTTTTACTAAATTAATTAATGCATAATTTATTAATTTGCATTTAGTATTTATTAATTTGTATTCATTAATTTGTTTTACTAAAGGAACATCTTACTACAGTCATTAATTTGGAAGTTGCTTTTCTTTTTTTTTACTTTACAACATACAAAATGGTCATCCACCAAGTAAGCAAATACTTCTGGATGATGTTTAAAAATAATGATATAATATTACATGGTACAATAATTTACTCAGCCATTCTATTACTTATGAAAAATAATGAGTTCTCTCTTCAATTTTTTCCACCATAAATATTTTGAATTAAACATAACCACTCTATAGGTGTGTCCTTATATACTAATG